TCACCACATCTCATGAAAGGTCAGATTTTGATTCGATACTTTTAGGGTGAAGTTTGAGATTCTGCATTTCTAATAAGCTCCCAGATGCTGCGGATCCCACACTTTGAGCAGCAAGAGTTCATCTGTAGCCCAATTGTGTTCTCTTAAGTTCCTGCAGATATTTTTAGATGAAAGAGCATTCATTCTTCCTGATAATTAAGCCTTAGCATTGCAAACTCTCTAAAGAAATTTAAGTTCTGTTTTAGCTGGAAGGATTTAAATTTTCCTGAGGGAGAATGCTATCCCATGTGACTTAGGACTGAAATCATTGTCAGATTCTCCAAAGGACATACAGAAAACTCTATGTGCATTAGACAAAAATGCTAGTTCCTGAAATTACTTATCTGTGTTGGTGGGGAGGGTGGCATAAGCAGGAGCAGAAGGCCAAGAATAGTATAGACCATGGGAATAACCAGATCAAGACAATTTCTTGCTTTTCTGTCTCTGTAGGTAGACATCAGAGTGCAAACCACTGTGAGTTTGATTCTGAATTGCTTTTACATTTTCCCCCAAGGGAATTGGGAGTTTCCAATAAATTTCTTATCATCTAAACTGTGATGTTTTATATTCACCTGCTCTGGCTAAAATGTCTTTGCTTCTTTTAGCTCTCTCTGATCTGGAGCTTGTGGCCCAATCTATTATCTTTATTTTTGCTGGCTACGAGACCACTAGCACTTCTCTTTCCTTCCTTGTGTATGAACTGGCCACTCACCCTGATGTCCAGCAGAAACTGCAGGAGGAGATTGACGCGACTTTCCCCAATAAGGTGAGCGGTACCTACCTGAAGAGGGAGCCAGGATAGGCTTGGTTATGTCTCAGTAACAGATTAGCCCTCAAACCAAGTGGGTTTTTGTAAAAAGGTTTACTTGTAACTCACATTAGCATGTCCAACGTGGGGATGAGTCTCTGCTTCATATAGTTATTCGGTGATATTGGGGAAAGAGGCTCCACTTTCTTATACCTGCATTATCTGGAACTTGGGACTAATTGTTGGCTGGGGAACAAGGAACTAGAGTGTTGCTCACTTGCTTTTCAAAGGTTTGGCCCCGAACTGACATACATCTCATCAGTTCACAGCCGATTTGCAAAACAGTTTCCCCTAAGTTCCCATGGGCTGGGAACTATGGGGGTCTTCATGGTTATTGGGTGGGCAGTGAGTGTCTCTGCCACATACCCTATGAAATGGCAACCCTATTATCTCCATGTAACAACTGAGGAAACTGAGCCACAGAGAGACATCATAACGTTTTACATTATCATATAAGTAGTGGTGAAGAAGCCAAGCTAGGAGCCAGGGTGCCTAGATCCTGATCGACCTCTAACCTCTACAATGTTGGCTCTTAAATATAACACCAGGGCTCCTGGGTGGCTCTGTCAGTTAAGGGTCTTCCTTTGGATTGGATCATGATCCCAAGGTCCTGGGATCGAGTCCCACATAGGGCTCCCTGCTTAGGGGGGAGTCTGCCCCCCCCGCACCCGACCCCTGCTTGTGATCTCTCTCTCTCTCTCTCTCGAATAAATAAAAAATATGTATATAGCACCAAATGATAGGCACATATTGACCACACTGTTTACCAATCCCTGCCCAACCTGGAGTTCCCTACTTATGAAGAGACCTGGCCTCTGGGTCTGGAGCGGCTTATTTGGCAAACAGTGAAACCCTGAAGCAACAGCAAGGAGACCCTTCCAGCAACAGAGGGTGGGACTGAGAGTAGGGTTCTGATCCTCTATAGAACACTCCACAGAACTGAAATTGTGTGTCCACATTTGGTAGCATCCAATCTTACCCTTCTCTTGACCTATTTGGGTTGAAAGGAAGTAGTGTCTCCCCCAGTTATTTATACTTTTTATATAATAGAGTTTTTCTCTCTAAATACTGTAAATATAATTGAAAGGTAGGGAGCAGGATATTTCCACTAGAAGAGTTTATGTGAAAGAGGGAATATTTTCTGTTGCACGTTCTTCTTCCATGGTGCAGGTGTGTGACTCCTGTTTTGAAAGGGAACAGTGACTTCAACATATTTCACTTAAGACTAAGGGTCATTGGGAAGGAAAAATAAAATAAGATAAAAACAGAGAGGGAGGCAAACCATAAAAGACCCTTAAGTGTAGGAAACAAACTGAGGGTTGCTGGAGAGGAGGGGAGGGGATGGGGGGGATGGGGTAA